GCAAATATGAATAAGGAATTTTTGTCATTTTTATTATGCCCTTTGGGAAAAACACCCTTTCTAGTAAAGACATACTTCAGCATCCCTCAGTTTTTAGAAAGTATTTTTCATTCTAAAGAATGAATGTTTTCTGTTATGTGTTTGGTGAACCAGCTAACATCTCAGTCAAAACCTGACTCTGCAGAATGACGAGAACAGAGGACATTAACTCTTGAACCAGGACCCCATGGTGGAGTGACCCTTCCGACATGAGTATTTCTGCTTATCTTAAATATATTAAAGGATAGCACATTATTTATTAAAGTGAGGTTATAATTTCAAGTGGAACTTGAATCAATGGAAAATTGTAAATAAAATTTAAAATATAGCACTTCTTCAAGTCTCATGATAAGCTTTTACTAAAAGCAGAAATATTTACTTTCAAAGTTTATAAATTTTCAGATCACTGTGATTTTTAAACTGGAAAGACATGTGTGACTTTATTTTGTTGTTTTATCTTGTGCCTCTAATTAAAAGTCCTTTAAAGATGAAAAGTATCAGTATTTATTTAGCAGAAGTTTGAAGAATCTAGGTTTTTATATCTATTCATTACCTGTAAGAGGACAATGGCTTGCCTTTATTGAACAGCTCTGTCTCAGTCTTTTTTTCTTTTTTAACCCCTCTTAATATTATTGTCATCAGTTAACAAAATGGGAAGCTGGGGTTAAAAGACACCAGATCATTTTTCTAGTCCCTGGCTATAACCTGATCTGAGTCTGGGTTTCTTGAATTCTATCCTTCTTTCCCCTTGTAGTGATTTCTATGGAAAAAAAAATAAACAGGCTAATTAGTTACCTGATCCTAATACAATCGCTAAAATTAAAAGTTAACTCAGAACAAAAGCTAATTTTTTTTACAAGTAAATGAAGAATGTATTAAAATGTTCCTCAAAGTCACTACAAAAAAAACCCCACATTTTTACAAGAAAGAAAGTTTCCTAAGAAGTATATAAATGTGGACAAAAAATTGAACAAAGAGAAAAGCAGAGTTAGGCATGAAAAACTGAGAAGTAGGTGGATAAATTAGACCTAATTATATCAATTCTTTTTAAAAACTAATCAGGTGTGATGGCTAGCCAGGGTTGTCAGCTGACTACATCCATCTGGAATCAACTGAAACCCAGGCAGCTGGACACACTTGTGAAGGATTCTCTTAATTGGGTCATTTGGGGTGAGAAGAGCCCTGTTCCGTCTAGCCACACCTTCTGGTGCAAGCCTGCACAAAAAGACATGGAAGAAGGAATCTTTCACTTTTCCCCTGCTTACCCTCACTCTGGCTATCAAATTCATCTATCCCGATGCTGAGACCTTCCTTCACTGTTGTGAAAGCCTACTGCTTTCAGATTACAATGTAGACTGAAGACCAGCTAAGACATCCAGCCTCATGGATTCAACAACTATTAGAATCTTGGCCTCTCTGTTGTTGAACTGGCTGGGACACAACCTGTAAGTGAATATATTAAATCCCTTTGTTTGTATATATTGTATGATATATTCATTATATATATTATGTGTATATATATATATATCAGGCCCAGGGGACCTGTAGAGACCAATGCACCAAACAAGGACCATGCCTGGAGAGGACCTAGATCCCTGCTCAGATGTAGATCATAGGCAGCTCAGTCTCTATGTGGGTCTCTAGTAGGGGGAACGGAGGCTATCTCTGACATAGACTCAGTGGCCAGCTCTTTGATCACCTCCCCCTGGGGCAGGGGGAAGAGGCAGGCTTGTCAGGACACAGAGGAAGAGGATGCAGCCAGTCCTGATGAGACCTGATATGCTAGGGTCAGATAGTAGGGGAGGAAGACCTCCCCTATCAGTGGACTAGGGGAGAGGCATAGGGGGAGAAAAGGGAGGGAGGGGGCTACAGACAGGATACAAAGTGAATAAATTTTAATAAACAATAAACCAATACATAAAAATAAAAAAGTCAGTGTCTCAGACTATTAAGGTTTGTGACAGGCTCATTATGCAAGCTTATAAAATATTCTCTACATTAATTTATGCAACAAGGTATATCAGCAGTGTGTTCTTTTTCTCTCCACAGCCTGAGCAGCTTTTAAACAGACTATAAGAGTGCTGAAAACTCAGAAGGAAGTAGTCAGCAAAAGCCCCCAAACTATTTTCACTGACGTTTCTACAAGTACTTTGATGGATGGCCAAAGCCCTGAATGATTTCACCTGCTCTGTATTATAACACTATGTCCGGGCCCCTCTTTCAGGTACACCTTAAATGTTCAAAGACAAGTCTAAATGTACATTCTGATCAATAGATTCTCTCACCTGAACTTCCCTAAAAGTCGTTTTCAACTAGCCCAGTAAAATTATCCATTGTGAATGGCTTAGTTTTCTAATACTCGACTTACCACATTTTCTCTTCTTAGACAGAGTCACACTTGGCATTATGGATTGGCTGATGATTCACTATGCAGCTGAAGCTAGCCAGTAACTCACTATGCATTCTAGGCTAGCCTCAAACTCATGTGTTTTTGTTGTTGTTGTTTATTTTTTGTTGCTTTTATCGTTGTTTTCTTTCCTAAGCCTCTCGAGTGCTCAGATTATTAGTTTGTTTATTCCTGTTTTGAATCACTGCAGTTTTTGACACAGAGGTGCTACCACACTGACTGAGAACAAAGAAACCTCATTTCTGAGCAGCCTAATAACGTAGGGTCCTCTGCCATCGGGCTGCAAGAGCCACATGTGAAAGAGAAGCTCCATCGGAACAAAGCATTGCATGTTCCAGCAGCTGAGTAACGTGAGCTTAAAATCTGCAGTCTAAATGCACATCTAAACATGAGTCAGTTCCAGTAGAAGATCTTACAGAAGATCTTCGAAGGCACCACAGTGTTTGAATCAGATAAGATAAAGTAATCTGCAGCTCATCTCACGAGATAAGAAAAGAAAGAAGAAAAAAAGTTAGAGGGGAATCCCAAACACAATACTTCAGTGGGCATGTCCACACAGTAAGACCTGTAGGGCAGGGCAACAATGTCATTCCCAAGTCAGTGTGACCTGTTTGTTTAGCAGGCTTCTGAAAACAATTATAATCATCTACATACATGGAAATGACCAAACAGAGCCTCATTCTAACCCATGTGTGTTTTCTACATGTGCAGATTAACAGGCCATTCCCAGGCAGGGCAAGGCAGAGTCTTCTCCAATTTTGTTTTGTCCTGTAGACTGGGCGTCAACAAAGGTCTTAACTCTCAGCCAGTCATCTAATGGCTTACAGCTCCCTGCTTTTGTTTGAGTTGGAGCATGGAATTATGTTGCTTCCAGGCACAGTTCCAGTTTTCTTGTTTTGATTTCAAGCTTTCTTGCAATGAATGAATCACTGAACTAGATATTACCTAAGCAACAAAACTTCAGAACCAGCTTGCAGCACCATGCCACCAATTGCTGGCTTTATTACTGTTTTACCACCAGAGCAAAGAGCACTAATACAATTGATATTACTTTTTTTCTCAAATGCCAAGTTGGAAATCTTTTTTTTATTTTATAACATTCATTCCAGTTTGTGTTTATTTGTGTTTGGTCATCTCTATTTTCCATGTTAAAAGTTGAGCTTCAGGGGCAAGGATGCAGACTCTCTTCCCTTATGCAATACATTATAGTGACAACATTTCTCCTTTTTCTATCTTCCCAGTCTCCAGCTGTACCACTCATTAAAAATCACAGACTCACCATCCTACTCCACAGGTATTTGGTGATTTTTCAAAACAGTGACAACCAGACTTGGCAATGATAAACTTAGAGTAAAATATCAATATGTTGACATTTGGGATAGGAGTTTGGTAAAAATATTATACCATTTTGTTAGGGTAATTCTAAAACTTGAAATCTGTCCCAAATAAACCATCAGTAAGGTTGGAAATAGGACTGACATTCAGATCCCTAAATTTTGTAAATGCTTGGTAGGCAAGGGGTTCTGTTGTTTAGAAGACAGAGAATGGAGTTTCATTACAAACTGGATATCCAAGTTAGCCACATTCACCCTGGGTTCTGTAAGATACCCCGTCCTAATGAATAAGATCGAGAGCACATGAGGAAAACTACTGACATCAGCCTCAGCCTCCACAAAATGCCACCACACACATGTGCCCACACACACATGAGAGCATACGTACGCATGAGAAAAGGGAAGAAAAAAATCAGTAATGCAGATGAAGTGAATTCCTACTGGGGCACGGAAAATTGAGAAGCACCAGCAACCACCTCCAAAACAGAAATGAGCCCGCTAAGTTATTGTACTTCCATATATCTGAGTGGTAGTAATTAGCTCTAAGATTAAGGGTGACACAACTCTTGCTATAAAACATTAATATTGGTTAACAAACATCAATGCATAAAATTAAAGTGAAGTTCGTTGGCCATGAATTTCTTTACTTGAGTAGTTGTTTTCGTTATAAAGTTCCAATGAATGCAAAGTCCTAAGCAGCCATGGATTTTAAGTCAAGTCCAAAGAAAACAAGAGCAATGGAATGCTATTATGGAAATATGCTGAAACTGGTCATTCTCCCAAATTCAGACGGCCTTTAGTAGCTGATTGTCTGCTGCTGGGTCCCAGTCACCAATACTACCCACACCTCTGTTTTGATCCCTACTGGAGCTCACAATCCTGAAAGAATGTGATAGAGTGTGTTGTTGTTAGAGTGGATCAAAAGCCCCTGTAGATGGATTTCATTAGAACTTGGCAACACATCTGACCCCCAAGACTACCTAGCTATTTCTTCTCACCAGACACCCAACTCTCATTTATTCATTAGAAGGAATGATTTCCAAAAGCAGCAGATTGCACTTATTAAACTCGTTTCACTCTCTAATTATGCTTAAAACATAGTAGTCTTTTTAATTTAAACTTTCTGTGGTACAGGAAACTCTTGGTATTGTAGTAAGCCCGGTTAAATTTTGTGAAATAAAAACTCAAATTACATAAACAAAGACACTTAGAAAACTCACGTAAAAGAATCCCAGTGGTCCAGATATATACGGCATTTTTATTCCCAAGAGATACTTGACTTGTGACGTCACGACATGGGTGGCAGCGCCTGTGGTCATAGCGCTGATCACGGGCTCGGTGAGCAGGAATGTGGCACTGCCCAGCTGCAGCACAAACATAACCATCTAAAAAGACAGAGGAGGGTCGTGTGTCATGTTCAGGTCACATACTCAAGGTTCCTGACCAGGTCAATATCGGACACATTTATGTTTTATAGCTATGCACCGAGCTGGGGTAAATGGGCTTCTTAAATTTGACGTTCTCAGTGTTTGTGTGCTTTTGAAAATATTATAAGTTTCTAAGTTGTTCTAAAGTTTATCTGGTACAGTATACATGGTTTCATTAAGATGAAGCCAATCATTTTCTTTCTGAATGTTTTGACCATTCTGTTTCTGTTTCTTATCCTGCTGCTGGGATCCAGGCAGGCATCAGCATAGACCCAGCTTCCGTATTCAGCCTACTGGAGTTCACAATACAATAGAGTGTAACAAAATGTTCTGCTGTTTAACTGCAAAACTAGGAAATGGCTCCCTTTAAAAGGAAAGAGAGAAATATACTAGAATCAATGTGTGGCTCTCTGTGGAAGAAAAATCAAATGTTCATTAATGTGTGTGTGTGTGTGTGTGTGTGTGTGTTTGTGTGTATACACACACATATTTTTTTTTCCGAGGCAGGGTTTCTCAGGTGGCCTTGACTGTCCTGGACTCACTTTATAGACCAGGCTGGCCTTGAACTCACAGAGATCTTCTTGCCTCTGTCTTCCTGAGTGCTGGGATATGTATATAATTTTTAAAATAGCAAAAAAAAAATCACGATTTATTACTTGATATCCACTGAATGTATAACTCAAAAGCACTGAGGAGAGGTAGGATTTTTTTTACCTGAGCTTCTGAAAAAATGGGAATAAAAGATGCCCCATGAAACAGTTCTAAAGGGCCAGTATTTACTGAGAAAACACAAGGATCTATCTGCTGATGGGGAATGTGGACAGAGATGGGGAATAGAGATGTCTTTAAAAATGTGGGCTCAGGGAGTCTGAGCAGAGACTGATGAATCAACCAAGGACCATGCATGGAGAGGACCTAGACCCCTGTTCAGATGTAGCCCATGGCAGCTCAGTTTCCATGTGGGTTCCCTAATAAGAGGAGCAGGGGCAGTCACTGGCATGAACTTGGTCGCCTGCTCTTTGATTACCTCCCCCTGGTGAGGTGATATTACTAGACCACAGAGAGAAGATCCAGGCAGTCCTGATGAGACCTGATAGGATATGGTCACATAGGTAGGGGAGGAGGACCTCCCCAATCAGTGGACTAGGGGAGGGCCATAGTGAGAGGAAGGATGAGGGAGTGTGGGATCGAAGGAGATGAGGGATGAGGCTAAAGCAGGGATATAAAGTGAATAAATTGTAATAAATAATGATAATAAAGAAAATACTTTTTAAAAAAGAAGCAAGAATTTATGGAAATCACTATAGAAACCGGTTCCTTAAACACATTCTTATGACTGTCAGCATCATCCCCCATCTCAAAATGAGGTCATAATAAGGCAAACGTGGGTTCTTACCATTTCAATCTCATCTTTTGCCAGAAGCATAGCAAGAGAGCTTTAAGAATATCTTTGAGTATGTAAACTAAGTCAGGATCAGTAAAAAGTGTCATTTAATAGTCTGAAAGTAACACTGGATTTTATTTGTGAGTACCCCTTCCAGAAATGAGAAACAAGGCCATGTTTTAATAATAGTATCTAGGTCAAGTCTTAAAATTCCTGTTGGAAAATGAGATTAAGAAGAAACCAGAAGGAAGAATAGCAAAGGGATTTCCTGCAATCAAGAGGTTAAGAGTGAGGCTTAGAGGTTCAAAATGTTATCTGGTACCACCAGAACATAAGTTGCAAAACATGTGACATCTAAATTGTGATAGCATCACAATGCATATTTGGCTGCTAGCAATAATGCTCTCATATTAAAATGGAGTTTCCTGGGCAGAACCTAGAAGCTTTGCTTTGGGATCCTGTTTTCTTCTACATTCTAAAGATGTGGCTGTAGAAAACTGACGGGAGTTCTCTGAACTGAATCATTACCCCTAAATTATTAGAAGGATGTCTGTCTGCCCCATTCAACCTTTAAAGCTGGGGTAAGGTGCATATGAAGCAAAACATGAAAATACTTTGAAGCCTGAAGATCATGCTGAATGGATGAGACAGAAAGCTGTGATGAGGAATTGTGCATATCCACTCTGTGAAGGAAACGAGGCATAAGTTTTTAAGATGCAGGCATGGCCACAGCACACTATCCAGCTCTGGAAACCTTGAAGAATGGGAACGCAGAAAGGGCTGTCTTTGAACTGTTGCAGCTTAGCAGCCACCTTTTATCCGATATGTGATAAGAGAAGAACGACGGCCATTAATAGAGAGATCGGGCAAACTCCCACTGCCAGAGCAGGAAAAGAAGGACACATAGCTTCTGCCAATGTGACTAGGTCCTGAAGTCTTTTGTTAGTCTGGAATGTAGAAACAAGATCCTGCTGGAAAGTCCAGTGCAACCACGCTTACGGGTACTCAAGGAACACAGTGATCTTTGTGGCCTCTCTTGACATTGTCTGCTGATTTCATTCTGAAAACACAATCAAGAGAAACACTGAACCAAGAATTCCCAAGCATCTCTCTGTAAGCGAGATCGTGAATTCCCACTTATATGTTATTAACTCTCTTGTAAATGAGCCATACACGTAGTTCCCCATCTTTACAACTCTGGAAGCTAGTCACAAAAATGAAACGTTATGCAGGAGTGGAAGCTCAGGAAGTTTATTCCTGCGTGATGCAGGAGCTAATCATTGTTTTGAGAGGAAAACTCTTGGAAGGCTTTGTAGACAGCATCATCATTTCAGCCGCTTTTGATTCCTTTCCTAAATTACAAGGTCTCTTCAGATGGGCTGATGATTTGCAGCACCTGAGAAATCTGAAGTGCTGACTAACTGTAACCACCTACACCAAGAACTTCTACTAACAATTTCATCATTTCCACAATCTAAGCTTCCAGGAGAACTACAGGGTGTCAAAAGAGTCCAACCATTTCAAATGCTAAGAATATTGGAAACTACCAAACCACGGGATCAGAACCAAGGGCCTCAACTGTTGTCATACACTATGTGTCCACAATCTGTGCCTTTAAAAAATCCGGCCAGCAAGGGGCAAACACTTGGGACAAAGAGTGCTTGAGTGAAAGGCCGACTGATCCCCCAAGAACTTTATTCCGACACAGCCCACTGGGCTTGCAGCAAGACTGCAAGCACATGAAGTCAGTGTTCTCTTCTGTCTTTCTTTTTCCTTATTTTCAAGTTGTTGGTGACCTAGATGTACTTACTGGATTTACAGTCCTACCTTTTCAAGACTGTCTTGTAAGCCAAGTGGTGGTGGCACTTGAGAGGCAGAGGCAAGCAGAACTTTATGGGTTCGAGGTCAGCCTGGTCTACAGAGTGAGTTCAAGGGCAGCCAAGGCTACACAGTCCCTGTCTTGAAAAAAAAATGGGGGTTGGGGGAAGGATTTTCATATTATTTACTTTTACTTATGATACATATTCAAAATTCAACCACATCTTTAAATATTTTATATTCTGTCCACAGCACTCTTTATAGCCCAGAACAATGCAGATATGAGAAAGAGGAGGAGGGAAGGAAACAGAGGAAAGAAAGGCAAGAGAGAAGCAGAGGAGGGAGAGAGTTAAAGGAGCTCTCTTTTCCCATCATCAAAGCTGCAGCAGTCACTCCCTGGGAGTAGGTCTGGTACACAGACACAGATAACTACAATATGAATGTAGCAATATCTTGGGACAGTACAGCTTTGGAAAGGGAACTCACAAACTGACCCACATTCATCTTCAAATTTACACATGTAAAATGGGGATTCTCTAAAAATTTTGCTTAGGGTAGGCATAAAGGATTTCAAAGCAAATGACTTAATAAACAGTCATATCAGGTCCTTTTATGGACACGGTTGATGATGACTGTATTATGGTTAACCAACTCCCCCCAACAGCAAAATGTTTTAATGGGAACATAAATTTTATGCAATATTCTGCAGCTGTTCATAACAATACCAATGTTCTGGGCTAATGCTTAAAAACCTCTGATATGCATTACTGGCATGCACTAGCATGGCATTATTTGATCATGTCTGTATAAAAACCATGTGTTCTATATAAAGTAAATGTATTTCATATTTCAGTCCGTTCTTTCCAAGTGACCTTCAGGTACTTTTTAAATTTTGCGTAGCAAATGACTATATGTTCGTGTGAATGTGGTACAGCATGCATTCAGGAGGCTTTGCTGTGCTGGGTCGGTAGCCTTTTCACTATGGCAAGTCATTTACTCACCCATTCAATGAGTATTTATGGAACACCCATTAAGAGATAGGCATAGCATCGTCGTAGATCATAAAGTTTAAGACAGAGCTCACACCTCAACATAGTGAATGAAAGGTGAAATAACTGAAGGAAAATATTGATATTCAATAAAATATTGAAGGAAAGGTGAGATGAAGAAGCTAGGAAACAAGAGTATGAATTAGAACCACAAAACAAAAATACAGGAGTGTTTGGAAGGTAAAGTCTCAAAAGCTTGAAGGTGAGACCTAAAAATTTAATAAGCCTTGTGGTATTTGAGGGACAATTTATATAGGCTAGTGGAAAGAACTAATTATTCATGACAGTAGTAAGATAAGCAAGTGTTACATAGGGGTGGTGAAAAATCCTCTGTGTGGACAACAGATATGAGAGAGAGAAAAAGATCAGGTGGATGAGTATAGATACGCTTTGCAAAACTCAACATCAAAATCTTCATTCTATTTTCAGTTTAAAATGTGATGATCAAAGATGTGAAGGAATCTTGAATTTATATTGTAAAAAAAGTAAACGGCATGTAAGATTCCCTCTATATGACACTCCGGAAAAAGTAAGACTATAGATATAGTAAATGCATCTTGGTTTCCAACAACTTGAAAATAAAGAATGAGGAAGAAAAATATAAGCTTTGTAGGTTGGTGAAACTATTCCACATGTTACTGAAATGGCCAATCTGTGACACTATGCAATACCAAAAACCACTGATCTCAGAATCCCCAATGAGGCAA